CACAGGTCCCTTGGGAGTATCTTCTCAAGGGTAAAGGGGCCCAGGAAGCCTGGATGCTCCTGAAGACAGAAATCTTAAAGGCACAAGAACAGGCTGTTCGTGAGTGCCGTAAGGCGAGCTGTAGGGAAAGACAACCGGTGTGGATGAGCTGGGAACTACTGCTGAGACTCAGGGAGAAAAAGAGAGTCTATGTCCTCTGGAAGAAGGGACAGGCTACTTGGGGAGATTACAAAGAAGTAGCTAAGGTATGCAGGGAGGAAGTTAGGAAGGTGAAAGCCCAACTTGAACTCAGGTTGGCCACTGCAGTAAAAGACAATAAAAAATCCTTTTATAAATATATCAACGGCAAAAGAAGAACCAAAGATAATTCTCATCCTATATTTCATGCAGCAGGGAATGTGGTCACTGAGGACAAGGAGAGGGCTTAGATCCTCAATGTCTTCTTTATATCTGTCTTTAATAGCCAGGTCAGTTATCCTCTGGGCTTTTTATGCCCCGATCTGGAAGTCTGGGATGCTGCTCAGAATATGCCCCCAGTGATTCCAGGGCAGACAGTCAGAGAGCCCCTCCTCTGTCTGGACTGTCACAAGTCCATGGGACCGGATGGGCTGCACCCTCAGGTGCTGAGGGAGCTGGCGGGGGTGATTGCCAAGCCCCTCTTGGCCATCTGTCAGCGCTCCTGGTTGACTGGTGAAGTCCCAGAGGATTGGAGGCTCGCTGATGTGACTCCCATCTTCAAGAAGGGCCGTAAGGAGGATCCGGGGAACTATAGGCCTGTTAGCCTGACCTCAGTGCCAGGGAAGGTTATAGAGCAAATCATCTTGGACAAGATTGCACAGCATGTATGCAGTGTCCAGGGGATCAGGCCCAGCCAGCACGGGTTCGTGAAAGGCAGGTGGTGCTTGACCAACCTCATCTCCTTCTACAACTGGGTGACTAGACTGGTAGATGAGGGAAGGGCTGTTGACGCAGTCTTCCTAGACTCCAGCAAAGCCTTTGACACGGTCCCTCACAGGCTTCTTCTGGGGAAACTGGCTGCCCGTGGCCTGGACAGGTGCACCCTTCTTTGGGTAAGGAACTGGCTACAGGGCCGTGCCCAGCGGGTCATGGTGAATGGAGTGAAGTCCAGCTGGTTACCCGTTTCAAGTGGTGCCCCCCAGGGGTCGGTACTGGGGCACATCCTGTTTAATATCTTTATTGATGACCTAGATGAGGGCATTGAGTGCACCCTCAGTAAGTTTGCAGGTGACACCAAGCTGGGAGGTGGTGTGGATCTGCCTGAGGGTAGGGAGGCCCTTCAGAGGGATTTAGACAGGCTGGATCGCTGGGCTGGGGTGAATGGGATGAGGTTCAACAAGGCCAAGTGTCACTTTGGGCACAACAACCCTATGCAGCGCTATAGGCTTGGGGATGAGTAGCTGGATGAGTGTGAAGAAGAGAAGGACCTGGGAGTGTTGGTTGGTGCTCAGCTGAACATGAGCCTACAGCGTGAGTTTTGGAATGCGTCACTATTAAACAGAGCAGAGCTGTGCACTGTTCCATCATTAATCCCAGCGGAGCTGTGCCATTGTGTCTCCATTAAAATGAGCAGAGCTGTGCCAACGTGTCACCATTAAACCCAGCAGAACTGTGCTAGTGTGTAACCATTAATCACAGCAGAGCTGTGCCAATGTTTCACCTTTGTTGGAAACTGACATCAGTTAGTGAGAAAGCTGGTATTTTGGGAAAAAAGGCAGTATTTTTATAATATGTGTATTTATAATAATTTTATAATATTGTGGCTGTGCCACAATTAAACCCAGGAGAGCTGTGCAATGCGTCAAAAATAAAAACAGCAGAGCTGTTTCAATGTATCACCATTACACCCCGCAGATCTTTGCCAATGCTTCACAATTAAACGCAGTATAGCTTTGCTACTGTGCCAATCTGCCATCAATAAACCGGGCAGAGCTGAGCCAATGTTTCACCACTGTTGGAAACTGACCTCTCTTAGTGAGAAAGCTGGTATTTTGGGAAAAAAGGCAGTATTTTTATCTTTGTCCATTTCTCGGGGTCGTTGCAGCAACTGCAGGTCTTTGCACAAGGCTGTGTGGTTTTGCTCACATTTGCGTGCACGTGGCTGGTGTGCACACAGGGCTGTGCAAGGATGTGCTTGCAGGTGTGTGAATGACAGCTATGTGTGCAGGGAAGTCCTTGTACGTGGGTGTGTGGTTCTGCACACGTATGTGCACACAGATCTGTGTGTAAGGAAGCAGTGGAGGTTCCTGGGAACAGGAAATTCCTGGGAGAGGCAGAACTCACACGGCACTGCTGGAAAGCACAGGGCCGGGAAGCACAGCTCCGCAGCACTGCACTGTGCACAGCAGCCTGCAGGATGGCATGGAGCGCTGACAGAACCAGGACAGAATCACAGAATCACACGGAATGTCCCAGGTTGGAATGGATCTCAAATATCATCTCTGTCACCTTCCCAACACAGGCAGGGCCACCAACCTCCACATTTACTGCCAGCTCAGGCTGCCCAGGGCCCCATGCAACCTGGCCTTGAACACCTCCAGGGATGGATGGGGCATCCACAACCTCTCTGGGCAGCTGTTCCAGCACCTCACCACTCTCATAGGAAAGAATTTCCCTCTGGCATCCCACCTAAATCTTCCCTGCCTCAACTTCAAACCATTTCCCCTTGTCCTGCAGTTATCTCCCCTTTCAAAGAGTTGACTCCCCTCCTGTTCGTAGGCTCCCTTTAGGTACTGAAAGGCTGCAGTGAGGCCACCCCACAACCTTCTTTTCTCCAGGCTGAACGAGCCCAGCTCCCTCAGCCTGTACTTGCAGGGGAGGTGCTCCAGCCCCCTGGTCATCTTTGTGTTTCTTCTCTGGAGCCTCTCCAACTGCTCTCTGTCTTCCTTGTACTGAGGGCCCTAGACCTGGACACAGCACTTCAGATGGGGAGTGTGTGCTGCCTCAGTTTCTACAGGATGTTTGTGGGGGCACCAAGGAGGGGACTGGGCTTAAGGGAGCCGGGGCCGCTGTTCTGCTTTGGCCCAGTGAAGCTTCTGTATCACTTAGGACCTCTGCTTGGCGGCAGGAGGTGCCCTGTGTCCCCTCCCAGTGGTTCAGCAACAACCCCCCCAGTCTCTCTTTCTGACCCCCAGGGTCACACCCTGCTCTGTGGTCCCCCTCCCATCTATTGGAGCCCTCTCCTCCCTTCAGTTCCCCCATTCTGATCCCTGCAGTCTTCCTCCACCCCCCACCTCACTGCCTCCCTTCAGTTCGCCCCACATTCCCATTCTGACCCCCCAGGGTCCCTTTCCTCCTCCCTTTACCTCGTCCCACTCTTCCTATTCCCCCCTTATGACTCGATTTTACCTCCCCCCCCCCCCCCCCCCCCTCCAGGCACAACCCCCCACATTCCCATTCTGACCCCTAGAATCCCTTCTCCCCCTCCCCCTTCCCTCCCCCATGAAACTCCCCATTCTGACTACCAGGGGCTCCTGTTCCCCCCTACTGAGTCCCTCTATTCATACCCTAAGGATCCCTTTTCCTCCCAACCCCGTCCCACCCCTTCTGTTTCCCCGTTCTGATCCTCGTTCCCCCCCCAATGTCCCTCCTCAGTCCCCCATCCAGAATCACAGAATCACACAATCACCAAGGCTGAGATCACCCATAGCTCTCACTAGTCTATGTCCCTCAACACAACGTCTCAATGTTCCTTGAACACCTCCAGGGCCGGCGACTCCACCGCTGTCAGTGCAGCCCATTGCAGCCCAACCACTCTGCTGGAGCGCTAATACTTCCTAACGTTCAGGCTGAATCTCCCATCGTACAACTTGAGGCCATTCCCTCTTGTCCTCTCACTGTTAAATGAGAGCAGAGACCAACCCCCAGCTCACCACAGCCACGCTCAGGAGTTACAGAGAGCAGTGAGGTCTCCCCTTCTTGCAGCGAGGGACCCAGAGCTGGACACAGCACTGGAGCTGCAGCCTCACCAGAGCTGAGTGCAGAGGGACAATCACTTCCTGCTCTGCTGGCAGCACAATTTCTGATGAAGGCCAGGATGCCATTGGTCCTCTTGGCCACTGGGCACACTGATGGCTCGTGTTCAGCTGAGTGTCAACCAATAATCCAAGGTCCGCTTCCTCTACGCTGACTTCCAGCTGCTCTGCCCCACGGCCATAGCAGTGCCTGGGGTTGTTGTGGTCAAAGTGCATCTCCAGTTGACCAGGAGGGCTGACAGATGATGGAAAGCAGCTTGGCTTTTCACCTCCACCAGCTCCCCCAGCACTCTTGGATTAATCTCTTCTGCCCCCATGGACTCGTGGCAGTACAGGTGGAACATAGGACTCGGTTTCCACCTGAATTATGGGGGATTTATTCCATTCCCCATCAAAGATGTCCACATCAGAGAGCAGAGAATTGAACAAGAGCCTTTTTTTCACCCTTTTCACTTCACATCCGCTCAATGCCGTCTTCCCTCCCCTGAAGCTGCTCTGCCCATAAATGTTGGCAGGGGTCTAAAGCCACAGCCACCAGTCCTGCTAATGCAGGGTTTGGTGAAAGGGGTGCAGCATTTGGCACTGGGGTGCAACTTCTTGTTAAAAGGGTTAAATCTTTGGGCCTTGGCTTCAGGCTTTTGCTAAAGGGGTTCAGCCCCTTGTTCTTGGGGTTATGCTGTTTGGCACCATTTGACCTTGAGCTTCTGCTTTTGGTTTTCATTTCTCCTGTCTTCCATCTCTCTGCCTCTCCAGAGCTCCCCAGCAGAGACACTTTTTCTTTGCTGCAGCCTTCATGGACAAACTCCACTGGGCAGAAGAGATCTGTGCAGACACAGCAGCAGACGTCTGTGTGCAGAGGGGCGCTGCTCATCCCGTTTCTCTTCCCATCTACGTCTCGTCCCACTCAGTGCCTTTTGAAGGGCGGAATCTCTTTCCGTCTCCTGAGCCGTGCCTCCCCTGGTCAGCAAAGGGCCGCTACCGCAATGGAGTCATCCAAACTCAGAGGAATAATAGATGACCATTTATTGAGAGCTTTCTTAACAACCAGCAACAACCAATTGGTGGTAACATTGGCCAATGGGCTGATTGCAATGAATAATATTAGATGTAACAATTGTAGGCAATGGCTGTGACAAAGAGCCAAAGAATACCAGATGACAAAAAGGCAGAAAATGGGGAAAGAGGGACAGGCAGCAAAGCACTCATAGATCCAGCCACGTCCTGGTGTCAGGTGCGGATCTCCAGTGTGCTGGGTTGTCGGAGGAGGTGGTGTTCAGCCGACGACGTCTCACGATGACAGTAGAAACTCACTGAGAAGTCCAAAGCGGCACTCAGCCGCCTGTCAGCACTGCCCCACAGCTGTGCCTGTGCACCCCGGGGGGCAGGAGCACAAGAGAGGCCCCTTCCATGGGGACAGAGCCCTCTCCCCACGCCCCACCGCGCAGCCCCGAGCTGGGAGGGGCTACCGAGCCCAGCGGTCAGATGGCCAGCAGCCCATCACAGACCACACGCAGGGTGCTGCTCGCAAAGTACGCCAGGGAAGCGTACGTTGCCTGGGGCAGCACTCGAGGCAGGAGCCAATAGAAGAGCTCCTGGTCGAAGTGCTGGGTGTACAGCACTGCAGAGCCCAGCACAACAACGAGGAGCAGCTGGAGGCAGACCAGGATGAGGCAGATCGTCCTGCGGGGCAAAAGAGAAAGGGGGCCGGGAATGAGGCGTCCCCCCCACGGCAGCACAGCCCCACACAGTGCCGAAGGGAGCCCCGCTGGCTGCAGTGGGGGGGGTTCAGGCCATCAGCCCCCCGCCGGGAGCCCGGCTGCTGGCGGCTGGGCACGGGGCAACGAGGGGACACTCACTGCATCCAGAAGGCGAGCCCTCGTCTCCTCGCCCGCTCCTCCTTCTCCTGT